TGCGTCCCCCGCCGTTGCTGACCCCAAGGACGTGTCTGCCTGCCCCTCTGCTGGCGGGAGGGACCGGGGGCCATGAAGCCTGCCTTGCGTTGGAGGGAGCGTGCCTGGCTGGCAATGCGTCCTGGTGACAGGGATCTGCTTGGGGGGGAAAGCACTGTGTGGAACTTGTTCCCTTGAGAAGGGACGAGGAGGAGGAGGAAGGGGGTCAGATTTCTTTGCCTGGCTTGATCTCAGGAGAAATGTTCTGTGCAGACCAGAAATGCTGCTTCCTTCCAGTACTCCACTGCTGTCCGGGTGCTTCAGCTGGGGAGAGCGGCAGAGGCAGGGAGGTGCTGTGCTGTCCCGTTGTCCTCGGCTCCAGCCCAGCACGACTGGTTTTTTCTCTGGGAAGCTGGTGGACAGGCGGAGGGAGGCAGGGGAGGTGGTTTCCTTGCCGAGGTATGAAAGCCCTGGAGGTCTGGAGGCTCTGACCTGGACGGCAGAAAGGGGAAGGGGCTGGAGGGCTGTGTCCCGTGCAGCTCTCCAGGGGCCCTGCGTCCTCCTTGGCCACTGTCTGGGCAATGAAGCCACCAAGCCCCTGGCATCAGAGGTCCCTGCGTGGAGAGGGTTGTCCCTTTTCCATGCCAGTGGCTTGTGGGTGGGTGGTGGCTTGCCCAGTGAGGGCTGATGGTGACCCAATGAGCACGGTGGGCAGCAGCACCTCCGGTGCTCAGCAGCTGACAGGCCTCGCCCGTGGAGGGGTTTGGGGAGAAATGTGTTGTTTCAAGGGCATTTTTGTACAAAGCAACTGTTCTTTTGGTCTCTTGCGAAGCCCTCTCGGAGGACGCTGTATTGTTTACATTGACTCCTGTACAATATCTCAGCCATCGCCCGCCCCGTCCCCGCCCGTACCGTGACGTGCGAGCCTTGCGCAAATGCGTGTGCGTGAAACTGGTTTTTACACTGCGTTCTGTTGCACTCGATGGTGTGTGTGCGTGTGTGCGTGTGTCCAGTCTGCTTGAGAAGTCGTGACCTGTACCGATCTCTCCCCTTCCGGCCCTTCCCGGGGGGCACGGTCCCAGCGGGCGGGCAGGAGGTGACGCCGCGTCCAGCTCGCTCGGGTGTTCCGCGGGGCAGGGATCAGCTCCACGTCCCTCTGCCAGCGAAGGCCCGGTGGAAGGTATCCCACCCCAGCTCCAGCTGCTCCGGGGACCTCCTGGGAGGAGCGAGTGTTTGATATCACTTTGGAATGCAAACCACTAGCAAAAACGTTCCAAAATACTTTTAACCCCAGCAGAGAGATAAGTCACATGGACTGAAAACTTAAGAGCCTTTTCCACTTTTGAATTAATGAGCCAC